AAACAATAAGTTCGAGAAAGCCACGCCTGAACATCATTTTGAGGGCGGCTACACCGTTTTCTTCAATTTATAGCTTGTTTTGAAAAAGCACTAGTGTAGTTTGGCAGTTCTAGTAATGACTACCGTTCGTCTGTTTTGTCGTTTATCGAACATCTGAAGTGCCAATTTACTGAAGATCGATGCTTCAGAAGCTGCATAAAGAATGACTCCTCCAAGACCAGATTTTACGCGAATTATAGCGTCCTTTATCTCTCAGTTCCTCAGCAGGAGGGCATTCAAGTAGGTAATACTCTATGATATTTAAGCACCTGCAGCGTAAGGCATATCGCATCATATTTTTCTTTCGGTAAAACCACCTCGCGCTCATCATGAACGACATTTCAGGAGCTGGTGCTCCTTATACGCAACTGCTTACACATCAAAATATGTTCATCTGCAGAAGTATGAATAACACCTAAACCCCTTCAAGATCAAATTTCAAGGAGGGCGTGCAATGTGCCGTAAAATCTGATCTTGAAAAAGTTAGGAATTATTTGAATACTCGTGCATACGAAAACATTTTTTATGTCTATGCAATATAAGATAGCATTCCGGATTTACAAAAATACTATATGCAATAGCAGATGGCTGTAATACCGGGAGGAAGACAAAACTAGTCCCGGTCTTACATAACGGCCGTTGACCTGAAGCTGGATTTAACTTGACTTTAGGCATATTACCAATCTCCAACAGAAGCGAGTGCTTAGGTCAGAAGCATTCAAACTAATTTCTATTGTTTTCAGTAAATTTTTTTATTACTCCAAGAAAATTCAATTTACAGACACATTTTAAGACCGTTTCTTTGCACGACCGTTTCTTCGCATTTTTATTTAATACAGAGTCTGTTTTACGGTAAATTTGAATTAATCATGACGTACTTAATCCGAAACTTTAAGCGGTGACTTAATTTTAAATCAACCAGGTTTTACTGTGTTAATATTTAAATAATAATATTAAAAACCTGCATTTATACCCTAGCATCCAACAACAGGTTGTCGGGTTTTATATCTCGATGTATAAAACCAAGTTTATGAATAGAATGAATCGCCAGCGCTGCCTCTGCAACGTAAAACTGGGTCGCTTCTTCGGTCATCGTGTCCTTCTTCATCAGCAAGGTCATCATGTCGCCTAATGGAAAAAAACGACAGAATACAGAATATGAAATTTTAACAGTAATAATAATTGTGATATTGATTAAATTGTATCAACTCAACCGTATCAGCTGTCGTGCTCACTACTGGAGCAGAGTGAAATAGCAGAGCACTTTTCAGACGCTCTAAACTGTCTGGCATCCACAACAGGTACGCAGTACGAAAACAAGCTACAAGTTACAAGAACAAAACTAAACAAAATGAAATAGAACTTGAGTATGGAGGAAAGCGATTAATATGTTACCCTGCCTTAAATAATACCATCTCATTTTCCTTAATTTATTGTTAATTAGTATCATCCACAATTTGTTATCTTTCATTGTGTGGACAACAAAGTCGTCAAATCGGTGAGGCTTGATCCGGTCTAAATAATCCGTTTTTATTTGATAGTGCATTGGTATGAATTAGTCGTGTGAGGCAGCAGCTCGATCCACAAACTTTCTTAAGGATCACAGAGGAGGAATGACATTTGCAATCTGAGTAAATATCATACATCACATGTTCAACCTCGTTCATCGGATTATCAGATGCGGTAAGGCTCATCTGTTCGCTAAAATTCTAAATATTAAACTTCGTATCAGTCGTTGCTCACTGCTGCGGCAAATGCAATATTCGACATTGCAAACAAATCTGTCACAGTGAAACGCAAAAGTTAAAAGTTGTATGAACTGTCTCTTATCCCGCCAATGGAAGCCAGTATAAGAAAAATGCTTTGAACAAATTTCTTGTACTTCTATGTTGTCTTAAGAAAAGAGGCAAAGGATCGGCTGTCGTATCATTCTGAGAATTTCGAGGGACCGTTCTTGGTCACAACCTACCTCTTAATGTTTCGGCTGCACAATCACACCCTGAGGACACTTTGTAGGCAGTTATGCCGGAAGTTGTTCAGATGAGCTTCCGGAATTGCAGATATTTCTATATGATATGTCCAGTGCTTCTTTTGTAAGAAAAAAGTTGCCAGAACTCACATCTTGTTAATATTAGTTAACAAGCCTGCATGCATCGTTTTAATGATTTTTCCACCGACCTGCTACACTTGACAGTACGACTGAAGTCCACGTGGACCAAACATCACATTTGCAAAAGTTACTTTTAAACTTGGAAAATCCGTCGAAGAAACGTCCCGGAACGCCGTTCCTGTGCGTTCTGTGACAAAAAACACTGCATATATCAGATATTATTTTGTTCAGATTCTTATGCACCGTACAGTTGTCGTAAAATTTAAGCTCAGTAGCAAACCTGGTGCAGAACTGCGACCCAATAACAAACCGGAAAAAAAGCGCCAAATTGGTCTGCATCATGAAAACTACCCAGTCTAATAGACCATTATCAGCGACTGAACAGCCAAACACGATGGAAAATGACGCTGCCCCTGATTTAGCGCCATTAAGTATCCGGACATGCACTGCAACGGTCTGTGAGAGTGAACTGACGATAACAGGCCAGTGCCCACGACGGCACGCAAAGCGCAAGGGTCTTAGTACCTACTCAGGCTGCCGAGACTCACAGGTCCACAGTTCTCCAACATGGTTCGATAGTTTGTTCTCGACTGCTTACTGCCGCCGCTCACTCGTTCCGAACCTGCAGGACTTTAGAAGAAGGATTACGCTATCTGCCGCTGTGCAGTTGCGCTGATCAGTCGCATTAGCGAGGTTGACCGAGCCATGATTTGAAACCGAACAGCCTCATGATCAACAAGCAACCACCTGGGGCCGCAAACGTTGTTTAGTGATGTCAACTATCCACTGCACAAACATTCTCTGAAAGCGGCAATTCATCGTGGAATCAAAAGCTCAGTACATGCCATTCATAACCATACGGCAGATCAGTTATGCCCTTCATCTCTAGCATTTTCAGAGATTTAGAACAGCCGATACAAATCAGTGTACAAAGTCTCGAGTCACGACTTTAAAGCCGATGAAAACATTTCTTCTTTTATGAAATTTTGTCAACGTTTCCACTTAAATCATTGATGCGAAAAACACTGCTTTGTGCCGATAAAAAGTTTGCTCGCCCCACGCATAATCTATTCTAATCGTAGTAAATCAGTAATCACGCCTCAAAAATTGTCAGTAATATCGTTTTTTTTTATGAAAATAAAATCAAACTATGAAAGTACGGTTTAAGAAAGAAAGCCAACAAGATATCCAAAGAACATCACGGCTCACAGATTAACCGAATGAACTGGAAAACGCACAAAACGCTTCATTAGTATGACACAAGAGGACCAGCGATGCAAAACATTAACAATTCTCAATTGTTAGTTTATGACCCCACAGTCATTCGGTCATGAGCGATGGTGACGAAAATGATGGAAATTTGTGTGGGTGGGTTCCGCAAAGCACGTTGAGGAGATTACAGTGTATGGGGTAATTGGCTACAAACGAGGCTCTTACATACATGAACCCTCATAAGACACGAATTAGCATAAATTATACATCACAATTCACCGATCAATGAAAATAGGTCGCTAATGACGTGTTGTAGTTGACAGAGACGAAAGTTATTTACCTCCAGGCAAAAACTCCATCACCAGGTAGAGATTACTCACGTCCTGAAA